ACAGTGACAATAGGTACTAATTCTACAGTAATAAACTGAAAACTGAAATCCACCACACTTTCAGGAACAGCTAACAACTCTGTGGGACTTCGCAACCCATTTTTAAAATGAAGCTAACTCACCTTGGAATTGGGGGGGGGGGGGAGAGAAAAAGGAAGAAATTAAACACATTTTGCCTCCTTTATATTTTTCATAGATTTCGTAAAGTGATGCTTTACTATATAGTCTGAATCAAACTGGCATTAGTTTATATAACTATATACCACAGAATCATGCTGCTTTGATGTTACCATTCCCTTTAGGTGCTGACCTTAAACCACAAGAAACCCCATTCCCATTTATTCATTGAGATTTCCAAAGCTTTACAGTTTCTTCAGCATTACAGAAGATATGTCTCATGTAAATATGTAGACAGAGGAATCAGGAGCCCAATTCTTCATCTCTAGGAAGCATCTACATGCTATAATCTTTAAGAATATACTTTGCCCAATGAAGGCAGAGGGCAATCCTCAAGCAATTTCCAGTACTCTAAAAATAGACTTTACAGACTGTAACTGTAGCCTTAAAATTAGTACTTTTCCAACTGGAAGAATTTGAGTTTGGATGTTTTTTACCTTAACATGTGTTTGCACACCCTATACCCTTTCTTTTCGAAGAAAATAGTTTTTAATATTGTCAGTCTTTAGTGCCAGTTTCCAACTGTATTCCATGGAGAAGCAGACATCTACATTCCAGTACAGATTGCTCTGCCCTGTGCAGTATCTGCTACTGATACTGATAACCCAAAGGGAAGATGAATAGAAGCAAGAGTCACAATTTCGAACCACCCCTGCCAACAGTGCAATTATATTGACTGCTTTTTCCTAAAACAAACAAATAAAATGCCCCCAAAATTACTGTTGCAGACTCACCTAATACTAATTTACACACACATAACCCTGCCATCTTTTCCAGAAGGACTACACTAAAATAACAGAAGCAATATTCCTGGAGTCTAAACATGGAAGAATCGGATAAGACCTGATTCATGTTTCACTGCACCTGGAAACTTGCCTGACTAACTAATATTGGAAGCATTATGATGCCATAAATTATCAGATAAGGAGATTTCAAAAGTCAGCTAAAACATTAAAATTTGGTTCTCAGATGGAGAAAATTGATTAACAGGTAAAACCTCCACATTCTAAAATTATTACCAGATTTTCTAGTGGGAACCTTAAAAATCACATTTTAATTATCTTTTTCAGTAAGTGAAGGTTTCTAAAGTCAGTGTTGCATTAATTGCCCAAGAGTTTAGATCTTTTTTTGCTAAGTTAGCATCTTAGTTTGAACATGCTTGATTTTCTTACAAATGAAACTTAGAACTTTGTGCAAATATAACAGAAGACATATTTTATATCAACTGAAATGAGGCACTTAAACAAATGTCATTTCCAGGTTCTTCTCTGAAAGACATACAAAAATGGAATTGTGATCACTTCAGTGTTAAATGGCAAAAATGTTTGTCTTCTTACACAAGGATGAGAAACATTTTTCTTTCCGAGGATCCAAAACACCTTTATAAATATTATGTCCGTTCCCCTAGCTCTGTTTGAAAGGCTTAAGAACTTGAGTAGGCAGCATCTGTAACACTGTGATCAACACAAAATATCAGCCTCATGTATGCAAACAAAGGCAGACAGATGTCACATCCAGCTGCTGAAAAACCGCAGAAGAACTAAAAATACCCTAAAAATCTCTTTAGAAATATCCATCAACACTTTCACAAATATGTGAAGTAATAATTTTAATTCACTTTCTTTTAATTCAAGAAGTCCTCTGTGATCGCTTAAGAAGAAATTTGTGGGTATGCAATTCTGCTTCACCAACCATACCCTATAATAGAATTTACATTTCTAAGCCTTGGCTTCATCATAAGAGTGAACAGAACCCTCAGAATTCCTTACAGTCACTCCAAAAATAAAACTGTCAGCTGATCAGTGTAAAGACAAAAAAGCTTGCTATGTAAGAAAACCAGAATCCTCTGTACTGGTCAATCCCAAACTTTTCAGAAAGAAAGAATATGAATTCTTAACTGTATGTTAAGAAAATCCAGATACTATGTTATTCTACATGAAAAAAAATTACAAATCATTTTATTCCTTTCTGTAAAAATAGCGTAACTTCTGGAGACTCAGGTCTGTAAAGCAGGTATCATTGCTTAAAGAAGGCAAAGTGAAAAAGGAAGACTAAGGCTGCAATAGGCCTCATTTAAAAGCTAAATCCATCTTTTAACTTAAAGGTATTTATTTTTGCTAACAGAAGCAAGGATTATTTCCACACCTTAAATCTTCACAGGTATAAGATAACCAAAATGGAAATAACCTCTGCCTTGAATTTCTAATGCGTACTTATGATTATAAATATAAAAGTAACAAAGTAGTGAAATGTGACAGGTGTTAAAATACAGCTATTAAGCTACAATGTATCACATGTACACTACAATGATCGGGATATTAAGATACAATGAATTGGCTGTCAAGATACAATGTGTCACCTTGCAACATTCTTTGGATAATCTACCACTTACCCTGCACTTAAAAGATACATTTTGTCTGTGGGACTTAAACTTAGCCCGCAGAGGAAAACCTCTACGCAAAAGAAATAAAACATAGCTAGAAGTATCCGGACTGAATTTTTTCCTTCATTTACATAAGCAGAAATAACTTTTCTTGTAAGGGCATTTAAGCCTCAAAAACTGCACAAATGGACAATATCAGATTACAAAACATACAAGTGTATCAGGCCACTGGAGACTGAAACAACCAGCTCCTGAACCTGAATGGTCCCAAATAAAGATGTGCAAGAAGGTGTTCCGAATCTGTAAATGTAAAGTTCCACAATAAACCTGTTTCCACCATACCACAAACTTTTTTCCATTTAGTGTTGCAAGCTTTCCTGGAAGTTGGTTTTCAGTAAGCCAGGAGGAATCAAGCCAACTGCTCAGATACACACCATACTTAGATGTCTTAGCAGTTCTGTAAACATTTGGAGAATGCCAGTTATTGCCCTTCAGATCATGATCCAATTGTTCCTCTGGACCAGAAATAGGCATTATAGTCTAACTGTATTTTGGCACCTACAAATATATGTAGCTATCATCACCCTGAACATCAGCCTGACACCACATAAAAAGCTAACACATTCTTCACCAAGCTGGCAGTAGTTGTGTCACTTGGAAACAAATGTAAAGGAGCTGGTCTAATAGTCCACAGCGTTCAAAGACATGCAGAAAACAATTAAGGACCACGAAATTAAATGCAAAAGTACTTAAACTGCACTGAGAGCTCTTCTGAGGCACTGACTGACCAAAATGGAGGTTTTATATGAACATCACGGATGTGAATGTGTCACCACATGTCCTTGGTTTTCAATCATTTCTCTCTCTAGGTAGTATTAAACAGGAAGGAAGACTTAATTATAGCAATAGTCAAAACAGCAATTCGGATGAAAACATGTCCAAAGGTGATAGACAATTTAACATCCATTGTCTCAACATGGTGTGTACAAAATTGATCTCCCTTCTCTAGTGAGCTACAGTAAAATACCATCTCAGCTTTAAGGTAGAAGGAATCAGCATGTGAAGACTGTGATGTTGCACACTAAGAGCGGAAGGCATTACTGGTGAAGCTACTCACAAAGACAGGTTGAGGCACACAGCATGTAGGTTACTCTCCTAGTCTTCTGCGTTTAATCATCTTCTTTTTGAAACAGCATAAAATAAATTTGCATCAGATTCTCAACAATCTCTTTAAGATTGAAATAGACACTGGAATTATCTGCTATTTGCTGAGGTATGAATATGCCCGAACAGGCATCACCTGCTTGAACACTGGTGTAACATTGTGGATTTCACTACTGCCCTTGTTAACAGACATAAGCACCAACAATTACTTAGACATTCAAGCCATGGATGTGCAGGCTCTCATAAGTAGATTTCTTAAATATATGCAAAATAGCAAAATCTGGAGAACAGGAGAAAGCGAAACAGCCAGAAAACACTGAGAAAAACCTCAGTTAAGCACATCTACAGAAACAGGTATTCAAGCACTGTGACTAAAACTACACAAAGCTACACTGAAATACTGCAGTAAGATGGCAAGACATGCATTCGTAGTGTGTAGTTGATAGGCAAAAAGAAAAATATGATAAATTACGGACTCTTGAGAAGGACCAAAGCTGCAGAGTTTAACTCTATTACATTATGCATGTGGGATGCCTCAAAACCTAAAATGATTTACAAAACCCAGCTTTACAGAAACTTTTTTGGATGACTGATGATTAAGACAGATTTTCAGAAACACACCTAACTCCATTTATAGGAACAGATATTAGGCACATAGGCATCTCTGAACAACCAGACTACTTTGAAAACCTGGCCATGCACAATTTGGCCTCAGAACCTCAGAACCAGAGAAGCCATAGCTAAAATTCCCAAACCTGTGGGCTACAGAACGACTCAAACCATTCTCCTTCCTTTTGACAGAGATACGAATTTTCTGGGGCAGACAAGGAAGGTTCCTGCTGTTTTTCTAAACTACTTCTGCAGTAACACTTATGCTGTATCACTAAGAACAGGCATCACAGCACACGGGCATCAGCACTGGTGGGCCGTAGCTGTGGCACAAGGGCCGCACCAGAGGAAGACCCAGACAAATGAAGGCAGGCCTCGCCGGGACACCCTGCAGCCACCGCCAGTTCCAGGCTAGCGCACGCGCCGCCGCCCCGGTGGCGGTGGAGCAACGCCTACCGCCCCTTTGCTCGGCTTACTCGGTTTGGCCGGGCAGCCCTTTCCGCTGACGGCGGGAGGCAGCTCCCCCCACACCCGGGCCCTCCCCGCGTCCGCCCCTGTCACAGTCCTCGCAGCGGCCGCCGCACAACCCCTAACCACCCGCGCCCCCCCCGCCGCCGCGGGAAAACCGAGCGGACACAAGCACAGCACCCAACCCACGCCGGCTCACCCGGATGTGGATTTCACGCGGCTTCCCCGCCCCACCGCGAGTCACGTGGTGCCGACCCCGCGCATTTGCAACTGGCCATCGCTGATTGGGTGTCGGCGGGAGTACGCGCGCGGTAAGGGCGGGAGGAGGAGGTAGGCGCGTTCCCGCCGCAGGGCTGTGATAACCGGGAATGGGGTACGGGGCTCCTCCGCCGGGTGCCTCGGGCAGCGTCTGGTCACCCTCGGAAACCCGACGCCGCTGCATTCTCTCGGCCTTTGGTTCTGCAGTCAAAACGTCCTGAAACAGCAGTGACACCTTTAGTTAGTACCAGTTGCCACCCATCTGCATCACACAGAAAATGGATCAAGAGCTCTGAAGATTAAACCATCCCCTGGTATGAACATGGTGTAAAGCGGCAAAACCTAAGGTGGAGTGTTCAAGTAGGGAATGACAAAATGTACTGGGATGCACGGGGGAAACTTAACAGTTATTACTACTGAACTGATTCTGTGGACAAAATTTTCAATATCTAATAAAATAGGTGTGTAATGTACAATGTATTAAAAGACACAGAGTCAAAAAGATTTAGGATTATTGATGAACTGAGAGCAGTCCTGAGGAGAAGGACTTTGGAGTGTTCATTGATGAGAAGCTCAACATGACCCCTCAGCGTGCACTTGCAGCACAGAAAGCTAGCCGTATCTTGGTCTGCATCAGGTCAAGGGAGGTGGTTCTCCCCCTCTACTCTGCTCTTGTGAGATCCCTCCAGGAATGCTGCATTCAGCTCTGAAGCCCCCAGCGCAAAAGGGATGTGGACCAGTTGGAGTGAGATAATGAGGGGGCTAGAGCACATCTTGTATGAAGAAAGGCTGAGATTGTTCAGCCTGGAGAACAGAAAGCTCTGGGGAGGCCTTAGAGCAGCTTTCAGCATCTAAAGGCAGTCTACAGGAAATCTGGAGAGGGACTTAATAAGAGCAAGTAGTGACAGGACAATGGGGAAAGGCTTGAAACCAACAGAGGACATATTTTGATTAGACATTAGAAAAAAATTCTTCACTATGAGGGTGGTGAGGCACTGGCACAGGTTGCCCAGAGAAGCTGTGGCTGCCCCATCCCTGGCAGTGTTCAAGGCCGGGTTGGACAGGGTTTGGAACAACCTGGTCTAGCGGAATGTGTTCGGGCCCGTGGCAGGGGGTGGGAACTGGATGAGCTTCAAGGCCCTTTCCAACTCAAACCATTCTATGATACTGTGATTATGGCACTGGAACAGTATACTGCAGCAATTTTCATAGTCCATACTACATGAAGAAGCATAACATAATCAATCTGGTTTAGGCTATATGTTCCATTACACCTGACTGCAATGTTCACAAAGGTGGCAGTAGAACATGATTGTTTTGTAAGTAAATAAAAAGGTAAAATAAATATAGGTCAGTTAGATAGTAGAGTTCCTTCTAACATGTACAAGGGGGAAAAATCTCAAGAGAAATGTTTGTATACTGTATTTTAATATGTGGTCATTCAAGAAGTTCTATAAAGTTTTAGTCAGTAGTTATTTCATTGATTTCTATACTAGAAGTGAAAATTCAGGTTCTCGGGACCTGATCTTGGGTAATGTTTTCCAGAATGGTGTTCTAAAACATTCTCCGTCCAGGCCTGCCTTCTCCTGTTATGTCAATAAACAGAAGATATCACTTTTATTAAGCATTATTCCTTTTGCACAGATTAATGCAAATTTCAGTTACTGATTACTGAAGGCAGTAATCCTTAAGTATGTTAAATTTTTTAATGAATGTATTGTGGTTTGCCTCTCTGCAACATGTTCCTTTTCTTTTTTAGTTTGCCATATTGTTTTTGTAGAAGGAATAAGCATATTCTGGGCAAAAAGCCAAGAAAAAGTGGCTTTTACCAAGCTAAATTATGTAATTACATTTTCACCATGTTTTGAAAGCACAGCTGTATCTTTTGGGTTATGAGAATTGCTATATAATATATTTAACTTTATACTTTTCTTCTTATGTAAGGGAAAATGTCTCTTCAAAATGCAGACTTTGTTTAATTAACTCATTTTCTCCATTTTGAAAATCAGTATAAGGAAATGCATTGCTTATTATAAATCCTCCCCTACCCCCAATTTTAATGTTTTATACTGACCATTATCAAATGTCTTGTACTTTTTTCTGTCAAAATTTGGTTAATGAGAAAAAAATAAAATCACTTTTAGTTTGATTTTCTGCTAAAACCATTGCATTAGTATTGTATCTCCATACTTTCCAATACTATTTTACTGACAAGTAATAAGTATCAATGAAAGTTGGTATATACTTGCCAAATTTTCTCTGTGCTAAGACAATGACACCACCAATGCCCTTCTGTCAGTAACTGAAAAAGAATAATAAAAATTATGCTTTTATTAAGTAGATATGCAGTAAGATTACAGTACCATATAGAGTTCCTTGAAGCCCATGATTTAAAAGGTCACTAATATTCTGAGACTCTCTTAGTGTCTTTAAAAATTGGGTATGCAACTTCTGCATGCACATTCAGTAGAATAATACTGGTCCAAAAACCAAATTAACTAATCAACTGTTAAATATGTTTCCTTGATTTAAAGTGGTTAAAAATGTGTTGAAACAGGATGCAAAAGTATCTTCTGTCTTTAATTCATGTATCATCATTACAAGAAAGTGTCCTTAGTACACTAAAGCAGTTCCAAAAAGAAATCAAATATTAAGGTTTTTCATGTACGACAGTGTTTAGCTTTACAAAAAATCAATTTCAGCTTCAGTTCTGCACAATTTTGATTTTTGTAACACAAGCTTCTATCTTTGGTTGTTTATTTTTTTTCTCCCAAATTAACTCAAGTGGGAAAAGTCCTTCAAGTCTATAATTGTCTAAATATCTGTATTTTATGGTTTCCTTGGGGTCTGATGTGGTTTTGTTTTTATACTCGTCTTCCCTGCTGAGTTGCCACACTGTAGCCCTTGAAATATGCTGCTGTTGGTGAATGTACTTCAACTTTTACTTCAGCTAACCTGTCTCAAGGCACTCATCAGTTAATTTTAGAAGTCTCCCTGGATAATGCCCCTTATATTTTAGGAGTATTTCCTATTGTAATGCACCTCGAGGAAGTAAGAAGTTTTTTTCTATCTCACACTGCAGTTCATTGAATACCCCAGTTTGGACAGACTGCCAGTATAACTTGTTGTGGTTCTTCCAAAGTCATACTGATTCTTGACAGCTACCATATTTTGAGAAACTAAGGGATGAAGAAACGAAAGGAAACAAGCAAATCCATTTGTCTCACTATCAGACTTATTCCCTGCAGCCTGAAACAGATAATTTAATAAATGCAAATTCAGCAAATAAAGAAAAAGCTAGAGGAGGAAACACATTACAAACTATACACTAAGTACAGTTTTTTAAAGGAATTTGGAAGTAGAAGCTGTATAGGAGGCTCATATTTTGATTTAAGATTGAAAGTAGCAATTAGCAACATGTTGTCTGCTTATGTTTGGTAGCTGTACTCAACTTCAAACTGTTTCTCTCTAGAGTTTTACGAAACATTTAAAAAAAAAAAAAAAAGGAAAAAAAAAAAGAGCTCTTGTAATACTTAGATTACTGAAAAACTTCAAGTCCACTGTAACTGAACCCGAAATAGCTTGAACCAATCTCAGACCAAACACTTCTTAATTTGGGCTGAATGTTATTGTTATGTCTCCTAGAGAGCAAATTTTATAGAGATTCCTGTCAGTTCTGGAACTTTTTTTTTAATTGATTCAGCTTTATATGGTAACAGTAGGTGGTTATAAATAAGTGGGTAATACCACCCTTCAATATAGCAGTTTGTGTGGTATGAAGCCAGTCATATTTGTGGGTCTTCCAAATCAAACAATGTTTGTAATGTTATTGGACTGGATAAATCTTTGTAGAGAAATAAGAAAAACTCTGTTGAACAAGCATGATTTATAAAGTAGACATGGATTGATTTACCACTATTAAATGCCATCATTAACCTAAAAAGCTGTCTTCCTTGCTGGGGGAAATTGGTGATATAACTGATAACAAAACTAAAAGTATTCACTTTTCTTATTCTGAAGCAGGTTGTGACAATCTGACATAGGACAAGAAGTTACTTTATATGAAAAATTACCACTATTTTAATACTGCACCATCCAACATTTTCAAATAGAGTCAAGACTTACAGCATCTAAAGTCCTTATAATCTGTGTTTTCGTGATCAGCAGGAAAGAGTGAACCAATTTCAGCTTGCTAGCAAGCTATTGTTTCCATGATAAGAGCCAACATGCTCCCTCACCCCTGTGGTTAGTATTAGGAGTAAGATCCAAAGTTAAGTTTTGAATGTGCAGGAGAAGAAAATACTTTATTAGCCCTGAAACTAGCTATCAGGTATAGAATAATAATTAGTCTGTTTCATCAACTTAAATCTCTGATTTTTTCCCATTTGAGATCACTGCTTCCATCACCACCTAGTTCAGTCGTCATTGATGTTACCACAACTGGCAATAAAGCAAAAAGCATATTTGTTGTTAGACCACAACCCACCTGCTTAGAAAAATTCTGCAACCATTTTCTGCCCACTTAAAAAAGACACAGTGAAAGCATACTGTACCTGTTTGCCTTTAAGGTTTTATAGGAAAAATCATGGTATAGAATCCTTATGATTTCCTTCAGGAAAATTTATTAAAAAGTAAACATTTAAAAGTCCTGCTGTTAAACAAAAATCCTGCTATTGAGTACTTTTTTTTCCTCCAACCTATTGTAACATATTTCTCCTTTTGGATGACAGTAGCAGAACTCAGAGGACAAGTTCTAAAGTATTTTTTTTCCCATTTATGAAAACTCTCTATTGGCAAACTCTTTAGGCAGTTATAGGCAGAAATATAAAGTTTTCTCCAGCTTCCTCAAGTAGGCATTCTCATAAAGTATTGTACTGTTCCTGCCGTCTCAATTCATGCATTCCTGTGCATGCAGGGAATTAATAGTGTTCACTTTACTAACCTTATTGTTACAGATTTTATGTATCTAAATAGACACTGTAGTGGGT